TGAATTCCGAATGAAATTTGAAGACTGCAGTTTGCTTTATCACGAGAAATAGTTTTATTTAATCGTGTGTAGCATTTGCGTAAGTAGAAGAAATCATAAACATAAATGATAACATTTAAAGTAGATAAGTATCAGTCGTTTATTTATTTAAAATATTTTACCATAAATTTGCAAAATTGTATCTGTAATGCAATATTTCCGTTTGTAATATAAATAATGGTAAGTAATAGCATTCAAAAACATCTAGTTATATTAATGAATAATTCCTCAGAAATATTTATTTATTTATTCTTTATGCACACACGTGAATGTACAAAGAGACTTAATGCCATCAACATTATCTCCCTATGAAATATGAGTTTTATTAAAACTAAAATTTCTTGCAGTATCGATAAAGTTCACAGTGGATACTGTGAAAACATAATATCGATATGAATAAACGGTGAACGTCACTAAGTGCACGCTACGGAGGGAACAGTGCGATTGGAATCAGTAGGGGCGTTCGGTAAATAACATCTTGCGAGCTAATACTTTCGCCCGGGATTAGCAATCTTGGTGCTGTCTCTTTGTTCGACGAGCGCTCCTAGAGCTGTTTGCGAGCGGAATTGATCTAGTGCCTGACGTTTACTGGTTCACCTCATTTATTTATTTATTTAGTTGCACCGACAGAGTAGACCACCATCACAGGTTAAAAAAAAAAAAGAAAACAAAACACAAGATTGGTGCTACTCCAATTATAGGTACAAAAACATAGGTCATAATATAGAATAATGATTTTGTTACTTCGCATATGTTTTTAGTTACACTTCTTTGTTTAAGAGCCGTAGCTCAGTTACATTTAATTTAACGTACCTACAAAACCAAGGAACCTTACTTTTTTTTTACTTCGACAGGCTCAGTTTTTTCTACTTCCTTGAATTGTGTCCTTGAAAAAAATTGTCCACTTACAAAATTTGTTTACTTCTTTAAAAAACCGTTGAAGCATATTGTTATAATATAGAATACCTTTCTCCAAGTAAGATACGAAACACAGAAATACATTTTCAGGTGTATAACTAATAATTCCAGAGAAAAGCGTCTTGAAACAAACAAAAAGCAATTCCTTAACCTTTATAATAAATTAATATGGATTTTTATCAAATAGTCGTAATATTTGTAACAAATTAAATGAGGTCCTTCTTTGTGAGACGAAGGCTTTGATCATATCCCTCGACTAGTTCGTAGGTCTCATTATATTGATACAGAATACGCCTCGGAGCTACGTTATGTTTCGATTTTGAAAAATGTTTTAGTGACATTTTTGTTACAAACGTTTAGAAAAAAAGGCAAAAAATAAAATCTTGATTACAGCTTTCATTCATCCCTATTTTATTAATAACGACCAAGGTAACATAATAACGAACTACTGAAAGTGCGATTGATATAAATTTGTCGTTATTTATTAAATGTATATCAAGTGAAAAAAGAAGTAACAAGCTTCGCTTACTCGCATTACATTTCGTTGTATTAAATCCACTATCACATAAAGGTTATTGACAAAGCACATCAGATGGAATGATAATGAACAGAAATGGATTAAAGGAAAACTAGTAATGAAGCTGAAAACATGTGAAATTCGCTATTCAAAAGAGAAAGTCAACAGGTATCATTGTATTCTATGTCTGCCTGCATCCTTGCACCCTTATTTAATTGCAAGCTATTTGTTCAAATAATACCTGAAAACGAATCCAATCAATAATGCGATCAATAAACAATGTTAAAATATAAACAAACATAGAGGAATAATATTCGCGAAACCCCTTAGAGGTTAAGCCTCGCTTAGATATTCCGAGAAGAGTTTGTGTAGCATCATGTTGTTTATCGTAAGTGACAAGATTCCCCGAACGCGAGTGAATACATTATGCCTATGGGAAAAGATTTTTTATGAGCTTGATAAACCTACATTTTCATTGATCGATTTTATTTTAAGTTTGTTTAAGTGTGTTTCAGGAATCATTTATGTTTCGTTAAAGTGTATCGGTATAGAATAACTTGATTTTTATATATTGATATCAGTTTGATCAACCCCTAAGATCTGAAGTGCGTAAGAATTAAATTATTTCATGCTACATTAGAACAGTCAGGACTAATAGATCTTTGAATAGTCCCAGAGGTTGAAAGTATAATTGTTATTGTGTGTTATTATAAAGAAAAAATTGTTTATTTTATAATAATCAAAGGATCGATATATTATGACATTCTCACAGCTTTATGATGTGCAGGTAAGATGTAGAAGATGCGTCAGGTTACATTGGTTGTATGAGGTGGCATGTAGATTGCTTAAATTATAAATGAATTGAATTCTATACGTTTCTTGTTTTGGCATCACCCCAACCTAATTATGTTAAATGAACTTGAACTAGAATTTGACAATACATAAGAGCGCGCAAGAGTCTATTTGAATAAATATATATTTCTAATTTAAAAACAAATATTATAAAGAAGTAAGATAAGCAAACTTCAGGGGGATTAAATGAATAATATAATAACGAAAGGTTGAACACACATGCTGTGGGGCATAGATAATGGTAAAAGCAAATATTCACACGACAGGTGGGAAAAAACTGGAGATCAAACATTTTTTTAATTAACTTGGCGAATAGTTAATTAATAAGTTCATAAGCGGCTGCTTTTGGTATTTGAAGTGGATATAAAAATGAAAATGGCAGCCAGTCGTTAAGAATAAGACATTTGATCCTATTTTCTTTCATACGCAACTTATATTTTCTTTTTTGCTACGATAATCTTCTGGTGGAGTATCGTATAGTATCATACATAATAACAAATAGAACCGATTGAGTTAAGTCCACATAAAAAACCTGTTGCCCGAAAATCTTATTGGGATAGCAATTTGGTGACTTCGTGGCGCAGTCGTCAAGGTATCGGCTTCGGCGTCGGGGGTCGTGGGTTCGATTCCAACACGGGACAACTATTTGTGTGACCCACAGATAGTTGTTTCGCATCTGGGTGTTTGTCCACGTGAAATTTATGTATGTAAAACGTCCTTGCAACACAGGATAATGTTATCCTAAAGTGAGGGCAATGTTTTTAAAAATAAAAAAAAATAAAAAATATGATGAATTTGTCAAGCCTTTGCTTGCAAAGGCAAAACCTTCACTTAGAACTTTTGAGAGTAATTTTACAAATGTAATTGTTTAACTATTTCTGAGAATAGATTAAAGTAGCTTAGTGCAGTTTTATTTATTGTATTTCACAATAAAACAGACCAGTTGAAGAACCCCCGACTATTATTGGAAAATTAATTAAATGAAAAGATTGTAAAATAAATCTTAATTTGTCATATTTTTAAACCCAAAGTAATTCAACACCCAACAACAATTAAAATCAACAATATAACAATTAAAATCTTTAAGACTGTATTGACGATACTAGTATTTGTATTCATTTTAAATATGGTAGGACCACGCAACAAGGGCGGCGGTTATCACTTAACATCAGGTAACCGCCAGCTCGTTTGCATATCGCTTTATCACATAAAATAAAATGTATTAGTACATATGAGTTTTTTTACTGTACGGAATAAATCTGGCTTAGTTGCATTAATGCCTCTAAATGTTTGCACAATCCACATATTTATAATTTGGACATGTCATCAAAATAGGTCACAATTTGATCGCTGAACCATCGCTGTAACGAGATAACACATTAAACAACGATAAACATACTGGGTTATAGTTTGGTACTAATTAAGCCTTAAATAACACAATTGAACCAGCAAATGCAGATACCGAAAGCTACATGGTTGATATTGCCTGTGGGCATCGTCAAAGCGACGTTAAGCAAATAAGTGAAATAATTAAAAACTTGTTTGCTGATAAAATATATGATGCCGTGTAGAATGAAAATGTTTAATGCTGCGTTAATAAATCAAGTATTTAATGCCGTGTTCACCAAAATTTGCATTTTAGCGCAACTCCTGGAGCAATGCGTATCGGGCATTTTTAAGGAGCCTTTTTTCCGGGAACGCCAACGTAATTACTCCAATGCGCGGCTGGAATAAATTCTCGTCGCCAAATTCAGTTTTGATCAACAGACAATTTGCGGCGCCATTATCAAATTTGGTTAGGACGATCACATCAAAAGTCAATGTTGATTGATTGAATTTAAACCGTATTTTGGTTCAGAAGTTTATTCACTTTCTTCAGTTATTATTTCAAACAAAAGGTATATAAGTGATACAACACGTTAATTATGCTAAAGTATGTGCACTCTTGCTTATAACATTATTATCTCAATCATCATGTACCTGTATACCCACCCTATAGAGGTACATGAAAACGTAGGTCTATGTAAATATATGTTGAAATAGATAATTGTTTGATTAGATTTTTTTCATTAAAAGGAATATTCTAGATTGATTTTAAAATGCGTATGCCTGATGTTTCTGCAACACAAGTAATTTGCTCCACGCTTACGAAATTGAAGACGTCACCGCATAGTTTTCTTTAAAAGCCGCTTTTATTTAATTATTTTTATATTTAGCCGCTTTTATTAAATACATCAGATGACTCGGCTAACCCATTAATATGTTTTGGACTTATCTTTTTCTGATGAGCGACAATATTTTTTTGTCGGGCTTCGAAATATCCAATGCCAGAACGGAGTAAATTCAAATTTCAGTTTTGTTTAGTTATATTGAATTCAGCATTTATCGCATAGTCATTGTCGTAATAATTTTAGATTCATATTTGCGGATTAATAACCGATGATTGTGCTAATTACTTATTTACGGATTAGGCGATATTACAATTGAATTTATCGCCGATGATGATGAAGTTCAGCGGGTAAGAATTATTTAATTTGATATTGTAAAATAATCTGAATATACGTACGTAATAAATTTTGTTAAATAAAATTGCACGTTCTAATTTTATATAATTCGATTTTGCAGTATAAATTGAATGTAATTTTTTGTCAGTGCTTGCTTTAACCAATTAAGAATGTCCGAATCTGTGGTGGCTTCAGCTGCGTCAGTGACTAGCCCTGATGATCAGCTCACTTGTAGCACTGCTGGATCAATGGGTTCCGAGGAGAAAGTGTACGGCGGCTGCGACTGTCCAGACGCGACGTACGTGAAGCTCGTCTCGTCGGACGGGCACGAGTTCATCGTGAAGCGGGAGCACGCCCCGATCTCGGGGACCATCAAGGCCATGCTCAGCGGGCCCGGCCAGTTCGCGGAGAACGAGGCCAACGAGGTCACCTTCAGGGAGATCCCGTCCCACGTGCTACAGAAGTTGAACATGTACTTTACGTACGTTTTCCACAGAAATACCGGAGTTCCCGATCGCGCCCGAAATCGCTCTGGAATTGCTGATGGCCGCCAATTTCCTAGACTGTTAGAGCCTGAAAGTGGACTGAATTCATCCTTACTAATTATCTGTATAGATACTAATAAAGTTTCACAGAAAGTTTACATATATTTATTTGTTCTGAGCTTCAACTTCTTTGTTCTTTTTATTCCAGCACCTGTATTTGAATCATCCTTATTATGATCGCAGATATTTACTTATGGATATGTATGTGGTATCATGATCAATAAGCAACCAGGAAAATTACAATGTTACAAAATTAATTATCATGATTTTAGGACGTGATAGTTCAGTGTCGGGTGATCGGTTTTACTTTCTTTATATTGATTTAGGGGATTTCTTAAAACTCGCAACCTCTAATTGCTAAAGGTATCATTCGTTGTCTTTGTGTCACTAAGAATTAATTCTTTTATCGATATGGATATGCCATAAATTTGTATTCGATCGCTATCTGTTAGCGGTGAGGTTTCCGTGATCATTCTGTTCTGAGTAGAATTGATAGAAGTTGTATCCGCAATATGAATCCCCAACGAGCTATCAACGTTACTGCAATGTGTTAGGTGTTGGCTCCCTATTACTGCACAAGTGGCACTTAATATCGCGTTGTTTTAAAATTCCCACATTACAAAACTGTTAATGATCCACAAAAGGAACATTCATGTTGTTCCTTGAATACGAGGAAAGTTTCAACGCTCCGTTCAAAGTGCTTTAAGCTGTTGTATTTTGGATAGTGCAGGCTCCACGGGGGCTATACAAGAATTCATTATTGTTTAATTTGAAATAATCTTGTTTAATATGTGCCCATAAAATTTTACTTCAAATAACCTTTATTAAAACGTGAATTGTCCGGGGTTTCATGTAGTTTAACTTTCCACTTAATTTGATTATATATAACGATTAACAAAAAGTAGAGCTAGAAATTTGCTTTAGAAAGAAGTAGGGATTTTTTGCTATTTTTCTAGGTGGAAGTGCCTACACCTACCTAGTAATGGTGACTCCGTGGGGCCAAGTGTTTGGCCGTGGTTGCCAAGGTATTGGCTTCGACGGCTGGTGTCATGGTTTCGGTTCTCACACGAGGCAAGTATTTGTGTGACCCACCTTTAATTGTAGTAAGGCCTACCAAGTCCTTTCACAACAAAGTGGCATGGTCGTAGGGGTAAAGAGTAAAGAGTAGGTTTGTGTTGCGAAGACATTGAATAGTGAACAATTAAGCTTTTGGTAGTTGATAATTGAGCTTTTAAATTATGACTTAATTAATTTAATCTCCAAAATCTAAAACTGTCGCAGTAAATCAAAGCCTTATGATCGAGAATGTTTCATTTTGTATCATGTTTCCAGGCATGTTTTAATTATAGATCTGGGAAAATAGGGCGAACGGCGCAATAATAACATGTTTCACAGTCTTTTAGTCTAAAAGGAGTCTCAGAACTGCGATTTAAAAGCCATTTTTAATTAGAGATCGAGGAAAATAGTGTGAACGGAGCAATAATAAGACGTTTTTCACAGTCTGAAAGATGATGTGAGGTGCCTCAACGCCAGCCGATGACAAAGCAGCCGTCTCGCCAGACGACATGCAATAAGATATATATGAGTTCACGCACCTCGGGTTTTCTGACGTTTATTCGACACTGGATACTTATTTCCTGTGAGCGCCTCGCTATCCGCTCCACGTCGCTCTTGTAATTGCATTTCGACATCTCACCAGTTTCATGAGGTGCCTTTATTTACCTTCTGAACTGTGTTTTAGAACCTGTAAATAATTTCTGAGAAGCTGTAAGCTCAGTTCTATCGCCCAAATCTTTCAACTTTGGAACAAGTCATTATACACAATCCGAGCTGAAATGGCGGCTTTGCGAAATGTTTAATATTTGATTAAGACCCAGGGTGAAATAATTCGTAAATAATTATTAGTCCGTCCGCAGTTCACAGAAAGGTTGGAGTATAAGTGATGAGTCATTTCTTACAAATGTAGATTTATAAAGTTTTAAAATAAGTTACGATTTGGCGAACTTAAAAGGTCCAGTTATAATTAATGTCCTATAAATTGTGTGAAATATCTGAATTAATTTTTATTTGTATTGTATGTATTTCCGCGTACGCCTCTACTCTCCTCACTTGAACTACACTTTTCACACATTATTCACTTTTCCTTTATTCTTCTCCTACATTCTTCTCCTACATTACTCTTCGAGTTCCGCCACTGAACTGTAAGTCTGGCGCTTCCTGACCCCTTTCATAGGCCAAATTTCGTCTTTCCATTAAAAATGTTTTATAAGCGAGTTGAATTTTGATCGCTTTGTGAAAGAAGTTTTCTGGAATAACGGTCTGATTTTCGATTGTCTCTTTAATAAAAAGTTAATAAAAAATAAGCACTGAAATAGGGGCATTCCACCACGTGACCCCATCGCGGATTGGCAGATTTCACATTTCATCGAAACATTTATTTTTATTATTATTTTAGAAAATATGCAGGTTTCTTCACGATATTTCCTTTAACGCTGAGCACGTGGTAAGGTAACGTAAGGTAGGTAAAGAAACGTTAAAATTGATATACATTGATGTTTGACCTGGGACCAGAATGCGCTTGTATTATAATTCAATAGGCGTCTATTGAATTATAGTAAATGCGAGCACTCAGACACCGAGCTGTCGCGGTTCTAAACATAAATGTGCAGAGACTTAAATTATGCATTTTCTTGTGGGAGTGAGAGGCTGCGGTAATATTGGCGGCATAACCGCAGTGTAATTATACGCAGAGCAGGGACGTTTATCCGACAATACTCCTTTGCAGCATTTATTTGAGAATGGTTGAACTATTATGAACATTGTTACTCTGTGTGAATTTTAGAATTCAATTTATGTTTGTAATAATAAGATTATCTATTTCTCTTTCATATACCAACAACACGAACAGTTTGAAAAGTCTATCTTCAATATGTTGTGTAAAAACCGATGGGATGTATGTTCCCTATGTATTCCAAAATGGTTAGATCAAGTTTGTAAAAAATTTAAGATAAGTCCAGTGGGTCACCCTGTGATGTTCAATAACGATTGGATGAACAGATTTATTTATTGGATAATAGTCACATTGTGCCACGGATCATGCCGGGGTGTGGCGCTAGTATCATATAAAATCATGTGTCTCAAAATTTCAGTTGTAGTACATTGTGATCTTAATTATAATAATTTGCTTGTGAATATCATCAGGGTGGGAGTCCCTTAATCACTCTGTGGGATCCTTCCGGGTGGCAGTTCTCAAATTTTTCACAACATGAACCAGACAGCGCGAGGTAACGCTCCACGGTAGCGGACAGTTCTCGGTGCTGCTCCGTCAGAGCTAGCCACTTTTCCAGCGCATATTGGGCTTCGGTATGTATCAAATTCAAATCACAGTCATAACGGTGGCATTTTTTTAATGTGAAAAGTTGCCAAGCGAGAAGACGGTTCACCTGATGTTAAGTGAATACCGCCTCCATGGACATCTGCTTCACCCGAGGGTTCTAGATGCGTTGAAAACCTGGGCTCTTGCCCGGGCTTAAAATTGGGCTCCGGTCACCTCACACACCTGACGAAACGCGAAAGTATTATACTTCCACTTTACGCCGGTTTTCTGTGAGGTCGTGGTACTTTACCCGGACGCTCCCTCCTCACCGTTAAACAGACCTATTTGAGGCCTTTTGAATCAAAGTCCCCATAGGGCCTGCGTCGCGCAGTAGGTGTACAGTGTCCAACCACCTTCAAAAATCAGGTTGTATGGCTTCCATAGTTCTCAGGTCAGTGGCACCAGCCTCCGCTCGCACTATGCGATGGCATTTGAGCGCAGGCTATACCTTCGCTTCCTTGGTCGGCGTACGGCCCTGGCCTTTTACCTCCTTGCGCCAGGTCAGCAATGACGCGAGGATCCGGGCTTCTAGGTCCATGGCACTAAACCGGACAACGGCCACGCCGCGTCACGGGAGATTGTCCGATGGCCCCGTATGGGTCGATTAGCCATCACAATCAATGCTACAGTTAGTTAATTTTATGTCGTTATTTTAGAGTTTTATGATCTTATTGAAAATATAAATCCTTCGTTTTGTTACAACATTAATAATGTTTAACTCTATACAGTGAACTTCCTTGGATGATTGGGTTGCAGTACTTAATTGCCTTGTAATGTCACTCCACGATATATAGAACATGCTGATGTATATCACCCCGGAAGAGAAACAAATCTGTCATCAAAACATTCTCCGCCGTATCCTTTTGATAGCTTTCACATTTAAGATACTTTTAATATTAGAATTATATTTAGTGCGACACAGGTGGCAGTTTATTAAACTTAAAGCGGGCAAGTACGAATATATTAACTTACACTATGTCAATAGTAGGCCCGTATGCAAATTCGTGAATGATGAAATTATCTGAATGCCTTCCCGTGCCGCTTTGAGATTGTGCGGCTGGGCCGAGAATATGTTACGGTTCGCTTTAGGTCAATTTATTCACGGGGTAAGCAAAGGGGACGGACATCCGGAGAGAGTCGCGGTCTGAAGGACATTGTTATTATTGTTACACGAAAAGCACATTATTCAGGGCTTAATAGAAGCATGATAGCTCACTGTCCGGACGCTCGCTTTTAATTCAATGTACTCGAGCAATCTGAGTTCGATCCCGGTGCCGGCACAAATTAAATTGTTCGTTTTAAGTACTTATCTATCACGTGCTTAGCGGTGAAGGAAAACATCGTGAGGAAACCTGCATATTTTCGAAATTATAACAAAAGAAAAAAAAAGTTTCGAAGATATGTGAAGTCCGCCAATCGCAGTGGGGCCACGTTGTTATCTCATAATACCATCCCTCTGTACAGAGGAGTTGTTTGCCCAGCAGAGGGAGATATATAGGCTGTTACTTTACTTTACTTTTAATAGAAGCCTCTGTTGCATTAATAGGAAGATTGGACTGGGGAAGTATCGTAGCACAGAAGACCGATATAAAGATTAGCATTTGAATTCTTGCGTATCGATTTCTTAATGTTGCTGATGTTCTTGGGAGTAATCATACACTAACAGATGATTTGATTGTTCGTCAGTCATTTCCTCAAACAAAAATAAACAAAATGACTTTTTCTCGAACGAAGTCGAGTCGTTTCACTTAAACCGCTGACATTCAGTCAACCTTTCATCACACAACGCGAACGAGTAATCCGTTGCAGCTTGCAGATCTGGAATAAACTCGTCCGTTTTAAATCTGCTAGTGACAGTAAACGTATACGATCGAAACCGAATCGGGACTAAGCGGAATAACTTATACAGCATCCGCACTCGTCTCCGGTAATTCTAAAAAGAGAGAAAATAAAAGGGTTTTTGCCTTTTAAGTATAGTAGTAGGTAGGAGCTTTGACAAATTTAAGCGCTTCGCTTGGTGACGTAAAATTTCGCCGGCCAGTTTTTTGTTTACATGTTTATTGTTGATTCTAATAAATTAATTACATGAATTTGAAGACCCAATAGGCGGAGTGGATAGGAAGCCTGTCTCTTGCTCCTGTGGGTTTAATCCCCACTACTAATTGGAAAATATTGTGTGATAAACAATGTATATTTAGTTTCCAGATGTCTCTATATTTACTAGCTGACCCGGCAAACGTTGTTTTGCCATATAATTTATTTGTTTGAGGGTGGACTACCCTTAACATTTAGGGGGATGACAAATAAATGTTGTCTGATTCTCTACCCTGGCGTATATGCACACAAAATTTCACGGAAATCTGTTGAGCCGTTTCGGAGGAGTTCAATAACAAACACCGTGACACGAGAATTTTATATATTAGATTGGATGTATTTATTTACAAAATATGAGGATGTTTTACTATGTTTATCTCCTATGATCCAGTACATAAAATACAACATGTGCTTAATTTGGGACTAGATAAATGATGACTCCGTGGCGCAGTTGCCTAGGTATTGGCTTCGGCGTCGTCGGTTGCGAGTTCGATCCCCACACGAAATAACTATTGTGTGTGACCCACATATAGATTTTTCGCATCTGTGTGTTTGTCCACGTGGAATGTATGTTTGTAGAACGTCCTTACAATACAGGATAATGTTATCCTAAAGTTAGGTCAATGTTTTTTTTTTAAATAACCTTTTTGTGTAAGAACTTGTGCTAAAATAAAGTATTAATATAAATATATAAATAAAATATACCTTTCTGAAAAACTTTGAGTTCATCCTCTATATAACAGAGTCTACAATGAAAGGGAATGTGTTCGTATAACTTCTTGTTATAGTATTTTTTTCTATTTATTCCTCGTTTCGATAAACCTGCCGTTATTTGATACTACCGTTGAGGGTGTAAAAGAACGCTTTTTTTGAAATCATGTTAATTTCGGTTGAACCAAATACCTACTACTATATAAATATTTTTCTTTATTTATTTAAACCTTATGTACAAAAAATCTTTGCAAAAAGACGAACTTAATACCAAAAGCATTTTGTACCAGTCAACCAAACGAGTGGTCAAGAGAAATTGAAGTATAGATAAAAACAATAATTAACTGTGGTAGGGCTACGCAACAATCTTCACTGTTGCACGAATAGGCAGGTCCGTCCGGGTATGTACCACGACCTTACAAAAGACCGGCGTAAAGTAGAAGTGTTACACTTCTACGTTTCGTGTGGTGAGTGAGGTAGCCGGGGCCCGCTTTATTTAAAGGTGGCAACGCATCTGCAACACTGCGGGCGTTGCAAATGCCTATAGGCGGCGGTTATCAATTAACATCAATGAACCCTCGGCTCACTCGTCAACTTCTCACATGAAAAATAAATGTAGATAAAGAAAAGGCTCAATGTGCACATCACTTATATTTGAGAAATGTGAATATGGTAAAAATGACAATTGTTACTGAAACCAATAATAGTTCAGCACCGCGACAAGTCCGGGAGGCTCTTTTCCTTGCAGTACGCGTAGGAGGAAGGCCAGGCCTTGAACCCGACGCGGTCGTAGATTCTCTTCGCGCACCTTACGTCGTCAGCTAAGTCCTCGTTTACGAGATCTGAAATAATCATTGCGTTAGAATTATTTTATTTTATACATCAACTCACAACTATCATTACAGGCCATACCTAATGCGATAGTGCAGTTCGAATACAGTTTAAGATAAAAATATAACTACAAATAAAACTAAACACTGAGAACATGGAGCAGCCAGCGTGAACTCGTTCAATGAGCAGTGGAACAAATCTAATTAATTAGCTACTGTATTTAAAGTACAAAACGCCCGAGTCAGTGGTGCAAAACGTAATAAAGAGTAACTAAAAGCGTAGTGGATAGTGATACTGTATCTTGCACCAGAGGGTGTGGTCGATTCCCACTACTGGTAAAATATTTTGTGATGAACATATGGTTTTTCTAGTGTCTGGGTGCTTAGTTATCTATACTATGTGTTTATTTGCGAAAATTCCATTTAAGTATGTTTATTAGTTACCTAGTATTTACTAGTAACATAACTAGGTAACTAATAAAGTACTATTGGTTACCTAGTAATGGTTACTAGGTAACTACTATGGAGTAGAAGTCTTAGTGTAGAGTTTTACGGTGGTAGGGCCACGCAGCAGCCTCGGCTGTTGCACGAATGGGCAGGCTCGTCCGGGTAAGTACCAAGACCTCACAGAAGACCAGCGTAAAGTGGAAGTATGACAAATACTTTCGCGTTTCGTCTGGTGAGTGAGGTAGCCGGAGCCCAATTTTCAAAAGGTTGTCAACGCATCTGTAACCCTCGGGTGTGGCAGATGTCCATGGGTGGCGGTATGCACTTACCATCAGGTGAATCGTCTGCCCGTTTGGCAATTTTTCACATAAAAAAATAGAACTAGATAACGTTGTTTGACTTTAAATTTGTTTCTTACTCCTTACAATGCAATAAAAGTTTTTAAAGAAGAGTTGGTATATGAGAAATGAAATAATGAAATAATGAAATTAAGTTAATAGTTAATTTAAAACCCGGAAGAGGATTAGACTCCTATTAATATTCTGCTAATAAAGTAGTCATTTTACGTGCAAATTTTTTCGACCATTTTATTGATGTTATTTTTAAACTCTAATTGTAAGAAACAAAGATAAATTAATTAGAGCTTGGCTGCGTTGTTTGTGCAAAAATCTACACGAAAAAGAATAGCAAAGAATTAGTGATAGTGATAACTGTTTGAATAAGAAATAAATCAAAATGACTTTCAGCAAGAACCACGAGCATGTTAGTCAAAATATTATTCATGAGGTGATGATTTAAGTTTGGTGTACAACTCAGACCCGGTTATAAAGTGGCGAAATTGTCTTACAAAGGAAAAATTAAACAATTATTAGGTAATAATTTCATTTCACACAAACCTTAGCCTTAAACTTAATGAAATAAATTAGAAAGCAAGAGTGAATAGATTTTTACTGAGCTAGCGCGTTTACCATCAACGGCTGCATCGCTACTTACCATCAGGTGGGATGGCAGTCAAGTTCTGGCAAGTTTTGAATTTAAAAAAAAAGAATACCTTCGCATTTCATGGTGCAGTGTCCGCCTTTTCTGCCCTTTTTGCACCACTCCTTGTTGTTTATCTGAAAGGAACGTTCAGATATCTATTTAATAATTAATGTTTTGATATTTGGATTTTGGTCGAAGAGACTTGGAGCCCACCTGTGACGACTCTTTAAACATAGCTATGGTTTAGAGAGTCATAACAGAACTATTTGAAGATTTTATTCCAAATGATAACGTTAAATCTGAAAAATTCTCCATGTAGTTGGCTTTTACAGACTACTGTGTGAAACCAATAAATCGCCTATGAATTCCTGGGCTTAAAGACTGCTGTGTAAGACCATTTAAAGATCTTGCTACAAACTTACGATTACTTATGATGTTTAGTTTGGGACCGGGACAAAATTAAAAGGAATGATAAAGAAACTTGCACCACTTGGAATATAAAGACAAACCTAACCACACATAAAGGTTGGTTGGTTAGGATATTTAAATATTTTCCGATTGTTGATACAACTCATTTGTTGTCATAGTTTTGTGAAAATTAAAAAATAATTTAGTTCTTACTTCAGTATTGTATTTGAACATTATTTTTCTAACTAAACGATATAAAAGATGGCGGATATTTTATTATTTTTTAACTATCCGTTGACTTGTGCGAAATTATCTCACAGCAATGTGATGATCAGTCACTGAATGCTATTACAAAAATTTGTAAATACTTATTTACAAAATTTTTTTATCCATGAAAGATATAGCTTATTTTGAGGAATAACATTTTTAGCCTCCTTCGATTTTTCTCTCATCTTTCATTAAAAAGTTATAGCAATTTAATACATTATTTATAACAAATATTTAAGGGATTTTTTCTTATGAAAACGTTTACTTTCTTTATACTCTATCTTTATTTTCTAAAATAACGGCAAATATAAGTTTTAAATGGTTTTGTGAATTATTGATACGTGTACGTGTGTCCACGGTGGTAGGGCCACGCAGCAGCCTCGGCTGTTGCACGAATGGGGAGGTTCGTCCGGTTAAGTTCCACGACCTCACAGAAGACCGGCGTAAAGTGGAAGTATAATACTTTAGCGTTTCGTCTGGTGAGTGAGGTGGCCGGAGCCCAATTTTCAAAACGTTGTCAACGCATCTGGAACCCTCCTGTGTAGCAGATGTCCATGGGCGACAGTAATCACTTAAAATCACGGGAACCGTCTACTCGCTTGGCACCTTTTCGCATAAAAAAAATTGAATTTGGTGAAAATCTGTGAAATTTATGGCATACCGCCAAAGACACCTTTAAGAAAGAGGTATTTTTAAACAATGTTTTAAAGACAAATTTTATACAAATATTGTAACCGTCATTCTGAATAAGCAAAAACTAACGTGTGCAACTAGCTTTTACGCGTAAAAATTGCCTTAAGCGCCTTTGTACAACTGAAATGATTGCCGTATTATGAAATAACCGCAAAGTCCAACGGCCAAATAATAATATAACGAATCAACGTATTAAACAAAGATAAACAACCGCCTATAATAATTTGCAGGATTTTAATTAAGCCTTAAATACAACAATAAAACGAACAAACGATAGCGGCCGAGTATTCCCCCGTGAAAATCCCCACCGGCAATATGTAAAGCGATATGGGCAATATAGCCCGTAGGCATCGTCGTTGCGCTGTTCAAATAAATAAGCGAATTAATTAAAAACCTGTTTGCTGACAAAATACGAAATGCAGGTGAGCGGTCGTGTCGACCGTAATTGTATAGCGCGCACCTAATGGAGAAGTGCATAGCGGCCAATTTTCATTAAGTTGTTTTAGGGTTCTGTACCCAAAGAGTAAAACGGGACCCTAACCCCCTAAACCCCCGTCTGTGTGTCTGTCCGTCTGTCACCAGTCGTATCTCATGAACCGCGATAGTTAGACAGTTGAAATTTTCACAGATGATGTATCTATCTCTTTTGCCAATATAACAACAAATACAAAAAACAGAAAAAAAGTTTTTAAGTGGGGCGCCCATTAAACAGACATGATTTTTTTGCCGTTTTTATAGATAACTTGCACTGAACCTTTCCTGCGCAAGTCCGACTCGCACTTGGCCGGTTTTTTGGCTACGTCAGCGTAATGTCTTCACCGTCCGGCTGGAATGAATTCCCAGCTCCAAATTCAGTGTTCAATCAAAATATAATTTGCGGCGTCAATATCAAATTTGGCTAGAACGATCGCACAAATCGGTAACGTTGTTTGATTGAATTTGAAGTGAATTTCACGCTCCGGGAGTTTAGACGATAATTTATTTTATTTAGTTCTATTTTTTTTAATTTTGATATTAGGTATTAATAGCGATACAAAGCACGTTGATTATGCCAAATCATAACTCTACCCATGTTTCACGTACAGTGGTGGGCTAAATAAGCAAAAACTTAATTTCTGATCTAATTTTATTGTTTATTTAATTTTTTAATATTTATTTCTTTCTAAGGTTCTTTTTTATCCTACAAATTACTCATGATAGAAACGAATAATAATCGATGAATAATTAATTAACACGACTATTTATTTTAAACTACATTCTTTTATATAAAATGAATATGAAATGAATGAATTGAATGTGATCGATCGCAAAATCGCAATTAAAAAACGCTTACGTTATTAAATACACACTCACGCCATCGTCTATAAAAGCCGTTTGGATTGTGAAATAATGCAATATTCAATGCGGTTAAACGATTAATATCCCGACCGCAGGGCTTAATGAGCGACGATAATTTTTTGCGGGCGCGAAGCGTCCAATATGACAACGGATTACACTCAAATTTTACCAATCCTCTCGTATCTCTTATTGATTTAGTAATATTGAATTCAGCGTTAACCGCATGGTGATTATCGGCCATCATTTTAAATTAATACGTGCATGAGCACTGATTAATAACTGCTGATTGTTTTAATTCAGTAATTGTAGAGTTGACGAGATTTAAAGCTAGAGAAAATCTACTAAGATTGTGCAATTTATTGGTATTAGGACAGAAGCATTATTGAAAATCAAAATCAAAATCAAATGTGTTTATTCAACATAGGAGCATTACACTCACTTATTGATAGTCAAAACACTACCACCGGTTCGGAAAAGAAAGCCACTGTACTGAGAAGAACCGGCGAAAGAAACTCAGCGGGCTTTTTTTTTTTTTTTAAATAAGCAGTTTGACATAAATTCGTTAAAATACAATATAAGAACTCCGATTGAAAGAGCCTGGAGCGATCAGTTCATTACCAGAGTGTGTTATCATTTAAATAATCATTAATATTATAGTAGCCTTTAACACACAAACGTTCTTTTACTATTTTTTTAAATTTAGCTATTGATGCATTTTGAACGTTTTCTGGAATTTTGTTGTAATAACGTATACATTTTTTTTTTTAATTGTTACATTCCCTAAAGAAAAGACAATCTTTATTGATCTAATATTTACAAGATTAAATCTATCTAAAATTACATATTATCTAATAAACCTAATCCACGCGGCATGGTGCCAAGAACGCTAGCTGCATTTCCTCGCTGAATAGTTTATGCTTAACCTTTGCGCGAGAAAAGAACCAGCTCTCTTGTCACCAGCCGCGGCGTTAAGCCTAGGACATAAACTTTAAAAAAAAATTGATGTGCGGCGACCCCACGGACCTAATGTTTCAACAGCAAATGGCACAAATATATACGTATACATTGTCCCATAAAAGATTTACTTATTTTACGGAGTCTACTTGTGGGTAGGATCAATTTATTTTTGTTCCTAGTATTTATATCATGAACATTATTATGTCTTAAAAATTTATCCTTATTTTTATGGACATACAAAACATTTTCAAAAATGTATTGAGCAGCAACAGTCAATACCTTTATCTCTTTAAACAAGTTTCTTAACGATTCTTTGGGGCCCAGATTGTAATCTGCACGAATAGCTCTCTTTTGTAAGATAAAGATTGTATTAATGTCGGCCGCGTTACCCCAAAGCAGAATGCCATAAGACATTATACTGTGAAAATAACTAAAATATACCAAGCGAGCCGTATCAACATCAGTTAACTGTCTTATTTTTTTGACCGCGAAAGCTGCTGAGCTAAGTCTACTCGCCAGTCTATTAATATGGGGGCCCCATTGCAGTTTGGCATCAATAGTTATGCCAAGGAATACAGTTGAGTCAATAGGGTCCAACGCTTCCCCATATAAAAGTACATCAGTTTTTACATGTTTAACATTGGAGGAAGTTGTAAATTTAATACATTTAGTTTTTTTTATTATTCAACAGTAAATTTTTAGCACTAAACCAATGTACTACAGTAGATAGAGTATGTTTACATCGTCATAACTTAAAGAACGTCGGTTTATTTTAAAGATTAAAGAGGTATCATCCGCAAACAATACTATCTCTGATTATTATTAACAAGATAAGGTAGATCATTTATGTAAATGAGGAAGAGAAAAGGCCCAAGAATTGATGTGGTTTAATTCAAGAATCAGTTAAGGAGAATGGGTGCCTCGCCCGATTATTTAGTAGCCCAGGGATATTTTGAATAGAGGACGGGTCTCCTGATGAAAAAGTGAGTGTGAGTGTATATCTCGATAGTATTTTATGTTTTGTTGCGTTGTATTGACATTATGATTTTCTGAACACTTCCCATGAGAAATGCGATGAAAAATACAACACAAATTGGCAAGGTGAAAGGATCTAGAAGTACCACGTTGTTTGCGGTCAAATAGAAGAAGCTGATACTGAGACCCTGATGCAAAGCAGATATTGTGGGGCCTAATATGACATTCATACAGCTGTAGAACTGGCGGGGTATATTGTCTCGTTCTAAATTCATCGAAAATTTTGAAGACTATTGCGACTTACTCCCCAATTGTCAACGAATCTGATTGTCGGTGGAAATGTCCAAGAATTCGCAATGAGGCTGTAAAAGGGGATTGCTGCCAAAATGAGGAGATAGGACAGTTTTTTGTTGTAAACGAGCAAAACAATGAGTTTAATATTAACACTTACTGTGTTTAATAATAAATAATAAAAATTAATATATTTTAACTGTGG